GGTCCTGTCCCTGCGCGAGTCTCTGCAGAGGGGCCAGGGAGGCTCTCGTAGACGTGCAGCTCCGCGCGCAAAGTCTGCAGGAGCAAGCGGTGCTCCTCAGACTGCTGCTGCAGGAGCGTCACTGTGTGCTGCAGCCTGCAGAGGGCGACACATGGATCCAGTGCCAGCCATGCCACCAGCCCTGCTAGCCCCACGGCCACAGTGCCCCAAACTTTACCTGTTGTTGTCCTCCTGCAGAGAGCGCCGCTCGTCCCGGAGCTGCCGGACATTCTCTTGCCGCTCGGCGAGCTCCTCAGCCAGCCTCCGCTGCTTCCTGCTCCTCTGTTCCAGCTCTTCTTCAGCCTCCCGTGTGCGGGAGCAGGCAGCCACAAGTGCTTCCTGCACTCGTGCCAGCTCTGAGGACAGAGAGCACGGAGGCGTCACTGCCACCACACTCAGCCAGTGCTTTCTGGGGCACAGCCCCGGGATGCTGGTAGCCCAGCCCTACCTTGGGAGAGGTGATCACGCTGGAGCCGCAGGGTCCGGTTGTCCTCACGCAAAGCCTTGTTCTCCCCACTCAGCTGCAGCCCCAGCTCTGGTGACTGGGCATAGACATCGCTGGGCAATCCTGCTAAGGGGAACCAGTGCTGAGTCTCTTTCCTCAATACCCAGCTCTGCACAGGGCAAACACCCTCCCCAGGCAATGGGGTGTGCAAAGCCTGGGCTCCCCCAGCGGTCCTGGCCCCAGGGCAGCACCATACCACTGGCCTTGCCGGTGGCGGCCAGGCGGCGCTCAAGCTGCTCCCGGAGCCGGTCGTTGGTGCAGACGGACTCCTCGAGCCGCTGGCGCAGGCTGCGGATCTCCACCAAGTGTTCCTCTAGCAGGTCTGCCCCTATCACAGCCAAGGAGATGGCTCAGGGCAGAGATAGGTGTGCCAGCTGCCTCATGCCATCCCCTCTATCCTGTCACATACCAGAGCCATGTCCTGCAGCTATTGTGGTGCTCAGTCTCCTACACTGAGGCAGGATGCATCCATGCTCTCCAACATGGACCTTATCTGTTAGCTTCTGGCTGGAGGGATACCCGGATGGCAGGGCCCCATAAAGCAGCTGGCCAGAAGGGGGTACATCCCAGAGGGTATGGGTCTCGGTGGCCGCCTTGGGGATCTCAGCCAGCCTCTGCAGTGCACTGTGTTGGCAGAGTGATGCTGGGGCTTTGCTGCCCTCTCCAAAGAGATCCAGTGGCGCTGTGAGCTTTGCTGGTGCCATGGGCAGTGTCACACCTGCATGCACAGGGCAAAGCGGTCAAGAGCAGGAGGGCAGTAGATAGGGAGAAGAACGGGAATAACGCACTCCTGCCGTGTGCTTTTTGCCCCCTTCTCTGCCTAATAGTGCAGCCCAATATCCCCCAATGGCGCTCCCCCATCACTCATCTCCCACCCTGCTCAAACCCATTCCCCCTGAAGAACAGAAGCTCTCCCAGGGCTTGCTGATTGTATGACACGAGTCGGAGGATGTCACCCTGACTCCTACACAACAACTAACCAAACAAGCCCTTCCCCAGAGGCCCCAGGATGTGCAACTGCCCACACCAAGGCCTAGTGCTGCCTCAGGCCGGGTCCATCCCACGCACCAGGCCCTCTTTACATGAGAGACACAAGTCCCCATTATCCCCCAGCCGGAGCAATGGGACCAAACCACAAAGCAGTGGCACTGAGAAGCAGGAGAAGGCCCAGGGCAGGACAGGAAGGTCAGAGAGGGTGTGGAGCCATGTGGCACAGCATGGCATG